AGGTACCACGTGCAAGTGGAATCATACAATATTCATATCATTTATATGAATCATATCTGTATACTTAAAATAACCTAAATGTCCAACAAAAATAGGGGAATGGAAATTTTTTTTAAAGTGATATAGTCATACAATGGAATACTATACAGCAATAAAAAATAACTTTACATTAAAAAATCTTAAAAACAATGTTGACCAAAAAAAAGTTGCAGAAGAATAGATACGATATACCATTTATGTACATGTTAAAGACATAAAAAACAATATTATAAATCATTTATGGCCACATTTCAGTGCATTTATAAACATAGATTGTAAAAATATATACCAACTTTGGGAAAGCAATTATCTCTGTAATAGGAAGGAAACGAGACTGGGAACGGGTACAAATAGGTAGCTGTAATGTTTTAGTTCTTAAAAGCATCAATATCTAAAATACATGGCAAAATTTTAACAATTGTTAAATCCTTAGTAGGTACACGGATGATGGGTTATAATAGTTTATTTTTCTGTTTAAAATAGAGGAATTAATTAATGTTTTAGAATGACAGAAAATAAGACAATGTGTGCTTTGAAGCGGGAGATGTGCTAATATAGACCAATGATAGCTTCTATTCTTCGAGTCAACTTAGTTGGCTTCTTTAAAAAAAAGTTTTTAATTACAAATTAATATACACTCATATAATCTTTGAAAAAAGATATTCATAAAGAAAGCTAATCAATGTGTTATTATGGCACTTGAACTTGCTTGAATCTGCTATGATTCATATTTTTTTATATAAATCATTTTGAAAATATACTTAGTAAAAAAAAAATACATTCAGGCTGGTCCAGGTGCAGTGGTGTTTACAACCAATTGATTACAGCCAGTTGCATATTTCTTTGTTCCTTCTCCACTCCCACTGCTTCACTTGACTAGCTTTAAAAAAATACTCAATCTAACTCCTAAGTATAAAAGACACCACAGTTGATTACTGCTGCTCTAGCACATAGAAACTTCCGTGGTCAAATCCATACATCCAAGTGCGGCAAAAACTCCCAGCTCAGGTCCAGATCCCTGGCCTCCCTATTAGGCTTCCTCTTGAACCCAGAGTCATGAAAGACAAAAGTTGTATAAACGATTTTACATAACCAAGACTTTCCCACATTATTTTTACATGCAATAACTGGAAATAAGTCTTTTGTTGTTGGTTTAGTTAGGCTAAGTAAATTATAGCCAATGCACTCAGTGGAATATTAGGCTGCTGTTAATAATGCAAAATATAAAGACTTATCACAACATTTAAAAATTCCCCAAACGGTATTAAATCAAAAGAACAAAAAAAGTATAAACAAGGATCATAATCATGTAAAACTACGGGTATATATGGATAAAGATAGAAGGGGAACAGAACTTTCAGTTATACTACGGTAGTAGAATTGAGTGAGAATTTTCATCTTTAATTTCTTTCAATGCTGCTTTAATAAATTACTTAATCAGTGTTTTAAATAGTTACACTATATTTTATAAAAGAATTAGCTAAACTGTATCCCTTTTTCATAGCTATAAACCCACAGAAACTTTTGGGTGTGTTTTTTTAATCTTTTAGATCTCTCAAGTTTCATTACTTTAAAACCAGACTAGCAGTCAAATTCAGTTGCCTCTGTTCTGGGACAGGCAAGTCAGGGAAGCTCTCTTTCTGTTTCAACTTCTTTCTGCCTCTAGATCCCACCTGCTATCAAGGCAGAAGAGACAAGAAAATTAGACCTAATGAAGTGAATTCTATTCCCTGAGATCCATTCACTGATAGCATGACCCTGGGCAAGTCACTGAACCTCTCTAATCTTTATGTTTCTCAACCTCTAAGTTTCTATATTTCTAACATTCTCCAGAGAAGCCAAGTGCTCAACGATTCATCTCAAATCCTGGACCCATTCTCTATCTCTCTACCTCCTCAACCTGGGGAAAACAGTGCTTAGCAATGGGGCAGGCAAAACCTTGAAGAGGTGATTATATCTCTAAAGATAAACAACATTTGTTCCCCAAGAAGGAAAGTAATATTCATTAAACACCTGTGCATCTGGCACTGTACCAAGCACTTCATATATGCTGTATCGCACACCTTCCTGGGTCCCACACAGATCCACAGAACCAACTTCTGGAGTGAGCTAGGGCAATCTGCATTTTTAATAAATTCCCTAATAAATTTCCTTTAGTCTGAAAACTAAAGGTCTAGTGACAATTTATTAGGGACTTGTGGTATACAATTTAAAAAATAAAATGGAAAGTATCAAGAGTACATTGCAGGTAGTATTGTTTCTGCAAAACAGTAGCAGTTATATGTTGTGTATGTGTGTACTGGGTCACAATATAAAATGTATTTCTTACTAGGAGTCGCAGTAAGAGTCTGAAAAACACTGGCTGAGCATTATAGACTTAGAACAATGCACAATGAGGTAGAATAAAAATAAGAAAAAAACCAGCAAGAAAATGGAGATGGCATAATACACACAATTTAAGCTCCACAAGTATCGAGAGAATTAACAAAACACTGAAACTCTGATCATGCACAGTAACAAAGGGAATTATGGTATAGGTAATTTGGCCAATAACGTTACTTTAGCCAATAACTTAAATATTCTACCCCCATTTTTTGTTTACTGTGGATAATAACAAGTAGAATTGAAAAATTACTCAAACTTCAATATCCCTTCTGCCAGATGGGTGGAAGTTAAGAAAAGCATGGTAGCAGAAAGAAGGTAAGTAGAATAGTTCATTCATAACCGAATTCCAATCCCTGAATCACCAAAAGTAACCATTCATTAAAACCATCCTATCTCTTCTTGCTTACAACACTCAAATAATGTATGTGCGGTCCTACCATTGATCATGGCTAATGAGTCCCAAATACTCGAAATATTTATTATGCCATCCTTTCCACCGCCCCTTTGTTTAAAACCAAACCACAGAATTCATGGCAAACTAGAATCACAACTCTACCTCTCCGTGAAGTGAAGACACCCAGATTCCCTAGCAGTGGCAAGCGGGCGGCGCGCCTGCGTTTCTCCACTCCAAGGCGGGAAAAACAGGACACCGTCCCCGAGATTTTCCCTGAAGTGGGAGCGACGCGTAGCTCCAGCCTGTGCTACACGGGAGCGGCGTGGCTCTCCCTGGGGCTTAGGGCCGGAAGGCTTGCCCACAGCAGAGAATGAAAAGCGCAATCCCAACCTACACGCGCGCGCGCGCGCGCGCACACCACACACACACACACACACACACACACACGCACGGAGGTATGCCCAAGCCGGACAGAAGCATAACAGGTGTTTCTGTAGCGGGGCGGGGGACAGTTGGGGGAAGGGGACAGGGGCGGGGAGGGCGGGAAGAGTGCGTGGAAAGCCATAGGAAAACCTCCTCAACACCGGCCCACCGACCCTACCCTTCCGCCTCCGCCGCACCGTATAAGCGGGAGATGGAGTCCTCAGATCTGAAATTCCCGAGCCGGAAAAGCGTAAAGGAGAGTAAAGCCTGCTGACGACCCCGACAAACGAAAACCTTGAAAACTTACCTGGCTGGCAGCTGCCGCCGCTTGCTGTCGGAAGCCCCAAAGTAAATGTGCAGGCCTCCTGGACTTCGCAGCCACTAGAGGGGCGTGTCTGGACCTACTCGAGCCGGAAAGAACCGGTCTCTTCGGTGGGCAGGGTCCCGCTACAGTGACGCTAACCAAGACAGAAGCTTAAATGGGGTCGACCTAGTTAACTAGAAAGGGCGGCCGTTGACCCGACCGGGACATGCTCTGATTGGTTGATTCTGGTGTGGCTTCAAAGGAGACTCTTCTATGATTGGCCAGGAAAGTCAAGCGGGAACCCGGAGATTGGGAGGGGGGGGGAAACAAAGTTGTTACCCAGGCAACAGGGAGACGCGGAGCTCTCCTCAAGTCTATTTTCAGAGCCTTTCCAGAGACCCGAAAACTGACCAAGGTGAGGAAACCTGAACCTCAGGAGGGGAAAGACGGGGTCCTCACATGCCGTGGCTATCAGAGAAACTAGGGAAAACTCCACACGAAAGATACCCCCAAAAGCCACAAGTTTCTCAAGGTAGAGGAGACCCGTTCCCTAAATCCTGCTACCCTAGACGCTAGAAAGAGGACGCTGCTTTAACAAAACTTAATCTCTCAGATGTGAGTGAGAGATGGGGTAGCATACAAGGGATGGGTGCTGTTCGACTGTCAGAAGGCCAAAATGAACATCCAAAGGTTTCCCAGCTGGCCCCTCTCTCAACACTCACACACATTTAATGGGTCTCCCTTCCCTTTAAAAATAACGACTTTGGGCCGGGCGCGGTGGCTCACGCCTGTAATCCCAGCTCTCTGAGAGGCCGAGGCGGGCGGATCGTTTGAGCTCAGGAGTTAGGGGCCAGCTCTGAGCAAGAGCGAGACCCCGTCTCTACTTTAAATAGAAAGAAATTAATCGGACAACTAAAAATATATAGAAAAATATTAGCCGGGCATGGTGGCGCATGCCTGTAGTCCCAGCTACTCGGGAGGCTGAGGCAGGAGGATCGCTTGAGCCCAGGAGTTTGAGGTTGCTGTGAGCTAGGATGACACCACGGCACTCTAGCCCGGGCAACACAGTGAGACTCTGTCTCAAAACAAAACAAAACAAAACAAAACAAAATAACGACTCTGAACGTGTACATAAGCCATGTTTCCTTGTAGGTAGATCTGGGTGCTCCAAGTTGGAGCGGCAGCCACTGTCTGTACCTTCTGCTTTATATGGACAGGCATGGTTGATCCTGGACCAGCATTCCTTGGTTAGTAGATATTGGAGGAGGCGGGTAAAAACACGTTCATATTGAAAAAAATGGCCCCTGCCACTCGCTACATGAACAATGTCGTTTGTATGAGAACTCGAACACTGTGGCCTGAGGGTTGCAGCCGAGCTTGGGCAGATCCACTGAGGAGTGGGAGGCGGGCATAGCCCCACTTAGTGAACTGAGGTGTAGAGTGCAGAGAATACTTGTACCTACAAAACCTGCTACTTACCAAGGGCTCATGGGGAAGGTAAGTATGTTATTTGACTGTACCTGTCAAAACGTGAGGACCTGTGTTTAAAAAATTAAATCCGAGTAAGGCGAGAGAACCGAGTTTGACCAGAGACATGGGAGTTGTTTCTCCTAAGAGTTTCCTGTTGTGATAAAGATTCAGAATGAGACCATTTCCTGAAGAAATGAAGAAAATAGGACTCGGGGAGAAAATTTCACGGTATCGAAAGAAAGTTTGCCACCTCAACTTCTTTTTAGATACAGCTGGAGTACGAGACTGAGATAAAGAAACAAGGAGAAAAATTATTGACAAGTAATATTAATAAGTGTATTAAGTTTGTCTTAATAAGTGTATCACTTAATAAGTGTATTAAGTTTGTCTGAAATGTGTAATGCATTTGAAGCTCAGAATGAGTTCTGTAAGAAACTAAGGATTTGCCTCTCCATATAAAAACTCACTTTAAAAAAGAATACAAAAAAGCCTCACTTTTCAAGAAGGATTGGGATGTTAGAAACTCCTTATAAATAAGCGGCTAAAATAAATAGAGGAAATATTAAATCAAAAGAGATTTAATAATCAATAATTAATTTATTGACCTTTTCATTTATTACAGAGTCCAGGTACTTTCAAAAAGCATCTTCCATTAAATATATTTTAAATTTGGAACAAAAACTCTAATTTCCCATAGTAACTTAAAAGTTGATACATTGATGGCAGTGAAAGTTAGAGACCTAAAAAAGGAAACTATTCTTGGTATTGTAAAGACATGCTCCAAATGAACTATTTTTAGTAGGTGGGGAATCATTGATGAGTATCGTTGTCAAAAAATATAAAAAGGAAATCAATTAGCCAGTATATTATAATTTATTTCAGACATAGGCAGAGATGATGTTTACTTTTGTGTTCTCAGAAGAATTTTAATGCAGGAATTGCTAAATAAGGCACCACGTAAATAAAGTTGCAGAAGAAATGCCAAATTTATTTAGAGAATAAATGGATTTTGAATACTTTGAAATTATTCAACAGTCAATATTTTAGGGATATGTTTTATCTATTTACTTAAACAAGTTCCAAGAGGATACTGTTTGCTGATTCTTTATTGCCTTGATTTTATTTACCATATATACTTGAATTAATATAATATCATTTCTTTTTTTGATGAATCTTGATTTATCATTTAAAGATAAGGGAGTCACAGTAAGAAGGCAAAAAGCAGATTTAAAATTTGTCTGAGATTGGTATTTGAACTTTCAAATATTCTTTTTTTAAATTTCAGGAGTACACATGTTTTGGTTACAAAATTTGCTTTTGTACAATTTGATTCAAAGTTGTAAGTGTGCCCTTCACCCAGATAGTGTGCATTGTACCTGTTAGGTGTGAATTTATCCATCCCCTCCTCCCCCCTCCCACCTACTTGATTTCTGTTGAGTTTTACTTCCATATGTGCACGTAAGTGTTGATTGATTAGTTCCAATTTAGTATTCAGTACATGTGGTGTTTGTTTTTCCATTCTCATGGCACTTCACTCAGAAGAATGGTCTCCATTCAGTTCCATCCAGGTTGTTACAAAAGATACTAGATTGCCCTTTTTTATGGCTGAGTAGTACTCCATGGTATACATATACCACATTTTATTAATTCACTCATGTATTGATGGGCACTTGGGTTGTTTCCACATCTTTGCAATTGTGAATTGTGCTGCTATAAACATTAGAGTACAAGTGTCTTTTTTATAAAATGTCTTTTTTTTTCCCCTTTGGATAATTACCTAGTATTTCTTTTTGAATAGTCTGTAATTCAGAGTTTTCACTAATTTAACCTAGACTCTTCTCCAATTGGTTAAAGTCAAAGAGCCAACCTTATTGACACTGTGGATGGAGGCAAACAAAACAGAAAGCATGATCCCAGCTTTACAACCAGAGTCTGACTTGATCCCAAAGTTACCAATACTGCTTCGTGCCATGGTTCTGGAGCTACCCCTGGTTGAACTTTTTTTGGTTCCTTTTTTTGGCTCCCGTGTTTTGGTAATGACCTGGTTCTGGAGTGTCCGTCACTTTAGCTCACTGTGGCTAGTACCAAGATTGATCCTCCAATCACACCTCTATCTGTGAAAACCTCCATACTACTTTCCTTAGAGGTTGTACTAGTTTGCAGTCCCACCAACAGTGTGTAAGTGTTCCTTTCTCTCTGCATCCATGCCAGCATCTGTTATTTTGGGACCTTTTGATAAGAGCCATTCTCACTGGAGGGAAGTGATATCTCATTGTGCTTTTGATTTGCATTTCCCTGATGATTAGAGACATTGAGCATTTTTTTCATATGTTTCTTGGCCATTAGTCTATATCCCACTACTAGGTATTTACTGAAAGGGGAAAAAAAGACATTTTATAAAAAAGACACTTGCGCTCAAATGTTTATAGCAGCACAATTCACAACTCAGGTTGATGTGGGAAAATCAAAGGCTCTCTGGAAAATGCTGCCATTGGCATTGGCCAAGCAAAAGAGAGCGATAGAAAAACAAAGGGCCTAGAAAATTTATTGTCTAAATAACCAAATCTCAAATACAAGATTTAGCAATATATTTTGTTTTAACGGAAACTCTTAAATTTTCCTCAGTTTAAATTTATTCTTGGCCTTTTTAAGTGGCAGTGCCAGATTCAAACAGAGGCAGTATGGCTCCAGAATCTTTTTTTTTTTTTTTAAATCACTACACTGTACTACCCAAGTAATCTGGGCAAAAGGAAGAATATACTCCAAGACACAAAGGCAGGGAATTATAAGGTATGTTTAATAAGCAGTTTAGTTTTTAACAGAATATAGAACACATATAGGAGAATGATAGGAGAGAAGGGCAGAAAATTAGGTTGGAGCTATATCCTGAAGGACCTCGATTGCCAGACTCAATATAAACTTAAATGCATGTCAAATTTATAAATTAAAGATAGCTCTACAAACTAACATTGCATAGTTCATAAAAAGGAATCTTGCTTTAGTTTTTCAGATGTGATGTTTGTGTCAAATGAGCTTTAATATTTTTATCAGAGTTTAATAAATTGTTCTTAATGTGTTAGACTTCTGAAAAAGCTAGTAGAATCTTCATTTTCATCAAATTTAGAATGTTTTTTCCAAAAATTCACCTGATTGTTTTTCTCTTTTGATACTTTGAACCTTTTAATTAGTTATTCGCAAGATATTTGTGATTCTTTTGTTTCTCAAAATACAACATCAACAAACTTGTCATGATTTATTAATTGGTGTTTGCAGATCATTATTTCATTTGATATGATAAAAATTATTTTTGCTAAGGTGCTAATTTTATGATCATATTTCTACTCCAATTTAGCTATAGTGCAAATCTATGCCATTTTATGACAGCATAATTTAGAAGTTCAGTTGGACTTTAAGAAGTCAAATGCCTAATATGCTTCAGATATAAAAAGTGTTACTAAGAATTATTGTGAATGATTTGTTTAAGAAACACAAACATATACATCCCAAGGAGTGGCAACACCTTCAAAGTAGCCACTTTTGGAAGCTGCCTACTTATTCTAATGATGTTGCTATTAATCATATTACTTTTGAAACTACTCTTTTAGAATCACCTTGAGGCCTGTAGCACATTCTTTTGAATATCCTTAAGAAAGCAAATCTTCATATGTTGAAAGTAGTTGTGATGTCTAGATATATCTAGAAATCTCTTGGAGACAAATTTGATGTGTAATCAAACTGAATGATACCATAATGATATGTATTTTCTTGGTGATGCACGTGAAGGCAATTCCAAAATATTTTGAGCATTGATAGCATAATTTACATCAATCTATAACCTTCCAAGGGGCTATTTTGAAATACAATATTCATATGAATTTAATCATGCTTCGTTCAGTATGCATCAACTATTATGTGCCAGCTCCAGTTATTGAAGATGTTCAGTCTATAGGTATAGCTTCACTCTGCCCACACTGCCCTGCTTCTCACTTATTGAAAACCAGGCCAGAATTCCTTCCCAGCTAACTGGTAGGGATTTAGAATTAATTTATTTTTCCTAAATCCAGTATCCAGTGTACCCAATGAACCAAAACCTTCCTTCATAACATCCCCTGTGCGTGCCCAGGTGACATGAGAAAGCTGCTGATGCAATGCCTGGTTCGTTTTCTCTTTTCCAGCTGGAACTTTGAGCCCTGCCCTCTTCTGAACCTTCATCTAGCTGCCAACTCCCCCACAATCCTTAAGAACTGGACCCCGCCTCTTATACTCTTCACCTATGGGCCAGGGTCCTACTTTACCCTAAATAGATTTCCCTATAACCATGACTTCAACCTTTCTGTCCTGAAGCACTGCTAATATCCAGAAACTCCTGCTTCCATGTCCCAGCCAAGCAAACAAGACCATATGAATTACAATTCTGATTACTACCTCAGACACTATATTTGGGACTTCTAAATACCTTTTTATAGGTTAGCTTTACTGGTCCCAGTTAATTCTCCTTTGACCAGCCCACCATTGAGCTCTCACAAGCCTGATGATCAAAATATCTGCGGGTGTTGGCACTATGTGCCAGATAATAATGACATTTTATATAGCTTTTCATATTTTAGCAAACTCCTTTGCCTACCTTGCATAATTTGACCATCACAACAATTTTGTAAAGTAGGTAATGCTGGCATCATAGACAATTTCTGCTATGTTTGTTTCTTAAATGTCTCATTTGTACAGTCTCAATTCAAAATACTAATTATATCATCGTATCTGATATCTGGATGCATTTTACCTTTCACCGTCAAAGGTAGAAAATGTTACAATAAACTTTCTGCTTTTAATGTTAGGTAAATATTTAATGAGCACATAATCAACTAGGAATTTTAAAATATAAACAAGAGCTTCTTTGTTTAATTTGTGTCAATTATTCATTTCCATAGCAGTCTACCAGACCACACTGTGAGAGAAGATTGTTTTATCACCTTTTATTCCACTTTTTCCAATTTAATGAGTTTCCAAAGTAATGAGTTTTATCATTAACTTATTTCACATCATTATTAGACATGACAGTCATACCCAGAAAAATTGAACTTTCAAAGAACTAATAATAGCCAACATATGTTGAGTGCTTACTATGTGCCAGGCACTGTTCCAAGGTCTTTTATGTGTATTAAGCTACTTAATCCTTATAACAACACTAAGAGATATATACTATTATTATCCCCATTTTACAGACAAAGAAAATTAGGTATAGAGAGTTTAAATAATGTGCCCAAAGTCAGAGAGCTAAGAAAATAAATAATGGATACAAATCCAAGCAATGTGACTCCAGAGCCCTTACTTTTAACCACTATGATATACTGCCTCTGTGCAATTTAGATTAGTTTCTTACCCTTGACATCTTCAACAGATACTAGGATCAGTTTTCTATTTAGAAAAGAAAGTCAAACTAATGATAAAACATAATAAAACAGAAGATTTGTAAAACACCATTTGCATGCAGATTGATTTTGACAAGTAGCTATACCAGCACACATTTGAGAATCCCTTTGTATTTCTCTTCTGGGCACAATGGAAAAATTTTCATGGATCATTTAATAAAAGTACTACATAGATGTTTCCTGTGAGTTAATTTTATAAAATAATGTTTAAAAAATATCAGCAGAAGTGTAGGAAAAAATTCCTATTATATTTATGCCCAAATCACTAAAAATAGGCCTAATTCTACATCTTTATTCAGATTATTCACTAAAGTCTGACACCTGCATGATTTTTAAAGATCCTGAATTTGCTACTCCAAATATAACTGCAAATATTATTTGGTTGTTTGTTTTGTTTTGTTTTTTGAGACAGGGTCTCACTCCGTTGTCTTGGCTAGAGTGCAGTGGCGTCATCATAGCTCACTGCAACCTCAAACTCCTGTGCTCAAGCAATTCTCCTGCCTCAGCCTCCCAAGTAGCTGGGACTACAGGCATGCACCACCATGGCCAGCTAATTTTTTTTTTTTTTTTATCTTTAGTAGAGATAGTGTCTCACTATTGCCCAGGCTGGTCTTGAACTCCTGGCCTCAAATGATCCTCCCACCTCTGCCTCCCAAAGTGCTAGATTACAGGCATGAGCCAACACTCCTGGCCTACAAAGATTATTTGAAAGACTGATGTCTAGATAGTAGGATTATAGGTAGTTATAGTTTTCTTAGTTATACATGTAGTCATGTATAACTACATGAATGAACCTGTTAGTGTTCTCAAATGGCAAAGTGCTAAGACATCATCGAGGGTAATTAAGAATTGAAATAAAGCAGAAGATGCAGGTCTGCCTGAGGTGGAAGTGTGAAATGAGCAAAGGCCTTGGTGTTATGTCCACCAAGCAACATCTTTTTCAGTTCACTAAGTGGAATATATAGCCTAAACAGCATACATGAGACAGATCAAAAGATAGTCTAAAATAATATGTTCCAAAATAATGATACATAATCTATATGACACTGATATACACTTCCTCTAGAGGTAGGGCTTAAGAATCTGCATTTTTAACCAACTCCCCAAGTGATTCTTAAGCACACTAAAACCCAAGAACCACTATAGTAGGTGCTCAATAAATGCTTGTTAGATTGGGTATGAAGTTTTAGTAAAACAAACTGAATGCTTGAGTTTGCTCGCTGCCCCAGGCCTGTGAGTTAGGAAAAAAACGTATATCTAAAGAAGTTTACAAGGATTTTCAAGGAACGATAAGAGACAATGGAGTGACCCTGAGAAAGAAGGGAGGTATAACAATAAAAAATTTTCATGTCTTTAAAAACCTTAAAAGTAAAGTATCTCTTTCTGATTATCTTCTTTCTTAGAATATGGATTCTGAAAATACAGAAACTGAAAATATGGAAATGGAAATTACGGCACCTAAAAATCTGGAAATTGTGACACTTTCTTCAGTTTCTGCTCTGGAAGCACTCTCTGCGCTAATTAATCCTGGAGAAGAGGATGATTTTGACTCTGGACAGGTGGCCATATACTTATAGATAAATTCGTTCTGTTCATGGGAAATCGTGAAAGTGTATTTGAACAATTTGTTCCCACCTTACTGTGGGAGCAGGACTGTGTCATCTGATACATTCACAGGAGGCTGCAAGGCTGATTATGCATGAGAGTATAACCTCTAATACATTTCTAGCAAACATAATTATATTTTTTCTAAACCACCTGAACACTGAATAGGAAAATAGTTCTGTAACTATGGTAGCAATAGCTACATTTCAAAATGTTTGTCATTTATATTTATGGCCTAAGAATGCTTGACAACCATTGCAAAGTGGTAGAAAGGACTGTTTAAGCCTAGACAACATTTCCATAAGACAAATATTTTCAATTATACAGTATTAATTGGACCCACAAGTACCAATCCCTTATTTTTTTTTATTTGTCTGCACATGAAAACAGAACAGAATATATTTTGAACCAAATAATGGGACAAACTAGCTTCAGCCCATCAAATTCCCTATACATGCCAAAATAAAGCTGTGGAGTCTAATTGGTTGAGTAGCACTGGGGTCAGGACAGGTAATGCCAGTAAGGCTTGCAGCAACAATATGGGCTTCATTTTTGGTAGAAGAGTTCTGGTAGAACTGACCTTTGGCCACTCCAAGGTCACTGCCAGTATTCCCAAAACAACAAAAACACTTTTATATAACTCCTTGCTCTCGATTCTCCTACTCCTTAAATATCAGTGAGCCTTGGCTCTCAGACTGCCTATGATAAGACAAACAAAATTTGGGGCGAAAATCTCCTAACAGAATATATTAACTTGCGTAAATTTATTTTAATGAAGTGTTTTGTTATTACAACCAGTTTACCATGAATAAATCATCTTTCATGAAAATACGTATCAATTTACTCCTTCCAAAATTCTTTTTTGCCATAATGTGGAAAAATAAGTATATTCTGAATAGGCAGCAAATTCAGTGGCTCATATTGACACAGGATTGAGCTAGCACCATCCAGGAAGAGCTTAGGTGGAACAGGGCAGAATTAAATAAGACATGAAATGGAAATAAAATTTGTAGAAGAGAGGAACTGAGTTGGCTTGGACCCAGGATCAGAAACCAGGAAGCTTTAATCAGGGAAAAGAATCAGTTAGAGGCCAAACAAATAAAGAAAATCAGGACATTTACAACAGTGTTGAATATATGTAATAAATAGGACACAGGAGGAAAAACGATAGGAACAATGTTATCAATGAAGTCCAGAAGGCAAGTTCATTTTTGCTACCTTACTTGAAATAACAGAATGATCATTTTCTGGAGCCTACACCCTGGGAAAGGGAGGGTGATGACATATGGAAAAAGTATATTAAGTATTTGAGAAACAGTGATCTTGAATAAAGTGAAGGGGAACTTGTAACTGGAACAAATTCAGAGATAAGGATTTACTCTGGTTACAAAGCTTGTTCCCTTTGGGATTTATGGCTGGAGATATTTATTTGCATCTAGAGGTGTTTCTAGGAGGAAAGATGAGTGCTTATGAGAACAGAAAGACTGACATAATTTTACTGAATTGTACAATTTATAAAGGAAAATTACTATAATAACGTATGATTCTGTATATCTAGGTTATAAGCAATTTTGAGATAATTGGTCATTCAGATACCACAGTACAGATATCATTAGAGGATATAGAATTAGAGTATCAGAACAGTGGGAGAATAATTAATGTTTCTGATGAACTATTAAATTTTCCAGGAGAGAAACTGCTTTTCATTTTTTAACATATATTAATCTTGGGAACTGAGGGATGATTACAAGAGTGATTTGTTTTTAAAAATACACTCTCTGAAAGCAGCAAGAAAACTGTTGCATACATATTGGTTCATTTACACTATCCCTTTTCTTTATGAATTGTTAAGAATCTGGAAGATTGGGAACGGTGTATCTGTAGTTTTTCAAACTCACGAGGGGATCTTAAGGCCTATGGGAAATAAGGTTCACCATTCTTCACAGACATTGTAGCAAGGATATTCTAACTGTATTATATATTACAAAGTTGCATGAATTGCAATGATAAATTGTTCATATAATTGGCTGTAGATTCATGGTAAAGGCTCAAATGATGCTCTTATAGAAAACAATTACAAGATGGTTTTTAGTGTTTTTATTATCCCATTCCATCTTTTCACTTGAAATTTTTATTTTTAATCATTTCTTTTCATTGAGTTAATAGATTGAAACTCTGATATACTGATCCAATCATTACTGTCCATGAAGAGCATACCAATTTTTGTCAGGAATGTCCAATATTTTATTTCTACTGATTTAAATTTTCTGTGGAAGGAGGCACTCAACAAAACAAGAGGCCCTCAAGTTCAAGGCCCCGAGAAATGCTTTACCCTGATTGACTAGTAGTATTCTGATGATTAATAATTTAAGAAAAGCACTACACATTTATATGACCTTAGTGATTAAAAAGAAAAAAAAGTCCTGAATATTGTCTTGGGATTTTCACATAAAAATGCCTGTAACACCTTTACCACAGACATAGCACTTTTGAAACATTTTTTTGGAAGGGAATAGTTACTGTCTCAGACACCGTTGAGATATTGTAGATTAATTTCTGATTTATAACTGTAGAAATAGTTTAGCATAATAAAGACCCAGGTGAGCTGTTCCTTCAGCTTTCAAGGACAGACATGACTCCCTTTGCCCAAACAGGACATTCTAACTTTTGTACATGTCTGAAGTCTTAGGAGATGAAGTTGGGTGCCTGAGAAAGGAGAGATAGAGGTGCTATTCTGCCAAGATCCAAGGAGATAAGAATTTTTTGACTACCAGCAGTGGAGTAAGTTGAATCTGCAGGGTCTGACATCAGCAAGAACAATTAGTAAGAAATTGGGATTTTCTTCAAATATCAAAAAATCCCTGAGACGGACCAATGAGGTGGTGCCACTATACTGATGATATAATATATGTTATACTTAGTTGAAAAAATGTACTGGTGAGTCAGGGGCAGTCCTGTGGGGGTGCACATGCTTGTGCAGAGGATGACAAAATAAACTTGTAGAAAGACTGAAATGCTTTAGCATGTATTTGACACTATTAATTTGGAGTTGCTGTTTAAATCCACTAGTTCAGTGTCATGAGATGGTGGGACAGAATAGTGTTTTATACCCATAGTGAAAAGCAGTAAAAGCAGTTATCAGGGCTTTTGAATGGATCATTTGAAGTCTAAATATTTAGCCTCTACTTTCCCATGCTTCTATCTCCCATCTAAGTACAACTAGACACTTAAAACCCAAAAGTATTGACGCTTTTATACTAACACTTGGTTGTGATCTTCATAGAGATGAATGTGGCTCATTCCTCATCCCCAGGGATACATGATTCACTGAACCAGAACTGGGAATTTAGTCTGACTAAAGATCAATTCTGCCCTAGAGTCTATTAAACCAAATATTTTTTGAAAGAACAAGGAAAGCACATTCAAAATAATATGTGACATCTGTCTCTCTGTTGTGTAACAAAGATGGGTAATTGAACTGGAAAGCTCTATGAGATTTGTAGATGGAAAGCTTATCAAATTTAAAGTATTACTAGTCATATAGATTATACAAGCAGTAATTACAGAATGTTGGATTTTTTTTTCTTCTCCTCCAGACAAATTATCCATCTTGTCTTGGAGCCATGGGCCCTGGGAATATTGGACCACCAAATAAAGAAGAGCTCAAAGGTAACAAAGCAGTATAGATCAATATAATCTTTTCCTTGGCAGAAAAATTACAGGGAGAGTAATACTAACTAACACTAGTACTTGTTAAGATGCACTAAATAACAATGTATTGTATACTTGAAAGTTGCTAAGAGAGTAGATTTTAAGTGTTCTCATCACAAATAACTGATAAGTGTATGAAGTAATACGTATGTTAATTAGCTTGATTTAACCATTCCACAATATATACATATTTCAAAACGTTATGTTGTACATAATAAATATGTATAGTTCTTATTTTTCAATTAAAGTGAATAAAAAAGAAAAAAGAAAAACTAAAATAATTGTGTAAATGATAAACAGCCATTTATATATAAAGAAGTTTTTACTCTACTGCTGGAGGTAAGTAGTTTTTTTAATAATGGAAATTAACATACCTAGGATTATCGCCATTCCTTGGTATATTTTCTGAGATAGAAGATCATGAAAGTCATGTATGATCAGATAACTTTTTATTTTTTAGGGTCTATCTATCAAGATGCTTAGCTTCTTTACCTCCCAGCCTCCTATATTCTGGCAATTTCATAGAATTCATTCATCAATTCATTCAATAAATATTTTTTGAGAGGGGTCTCACTCTGTCACCCGGGCTGGAATGCAGTGACACGATCATAGCTCACGGCAGCCTTGAACTTTTGGGCTCAAGCAATCCTCCTACCTCAGCTTCCTGAGTAGCTAGGACTACAGGTGTGTGCCACCACGCCCAGCTAATTTTTTAATTTTTTTGTGGAGATGAGGTTTTGCCATGTTGCCCAGGCTGGTCTTGAACTTCTGGCTTCGAGTGATCCTCCCACCTCAGCCCCTCTCAAAGTGCTGAGATTACAGGCATGAGCCACCACACCTGGCCTTAATAAATATTCATTGAGAGCCTATTATGTATCAGGCAGTATGATCAAAATGATGCAGATCAAAACAGAAAGAGTCCCTGCCCTGACTGACCCAATAGATTTTTGGAGAGAACAGTAAAAATCTACACAATTTTGTCTTACATTGAAATGCTTATAAATTAAAGTTTATATGGTTACTTATAAAATCACAGGTCCAATAAACTAGAATAAATAATTTTTTATGTATTTCCAGCATTTTGGTCTATACATTTTTTACAGAGTTCAACATTTATAAATCTTTAAAAATATAGAAGACTTTCTATTGATCACAATTACTGTTAAACCAGAGGATGGGCAGGAAGAAGAAGTGAATTTTATTCATCAATTTAGCTAATTGTGAAAGATTTTATCTGGAAAAATGTTTAAAATAATGGCTAAAATGAGGTCTGAGGATGGTTTTTAAATTTCAGTTATTATTGCTGTACATACTCAAGAGGCTATTTGCCTTATTCAAGAGCTATTCACTCCGCGGAGGACTAGTTCAAACTTGATGTATTTCTGTACTGCCTGTATTTCTGATAATGTAGGTCTAATAATCTCTAAATTCTGAGGGTAATGATTCATATGTAAATGTTCTGTAAAAATCTGTAGTTAGGCTTTACAAAGCCCATGCTAGATAGAAGCAGATAATTTCAAAAGAATTGGCAGAATTGAGAACCTGGCAATCAGGTACATTTCTGAGAATGCTTTAAAGGACTCACAGTAATGCCCTGCACTTAATGCTGGTCTCCATTTGATGCCACAATAGTTAGAACAAATGTAAGCTCGGTTTTTCCATGCCTACTGGAGCCTATCACTTTTAAACATTTTAAGATGACATGTAGAAACCCAAGCACATGCTCAGTTCTGCATAAAGGACAAGTGATAGAGATACTCTTTAAAGCTCATGTCTACATGAGGAAAATACTGGATTACAAAATGATCATTGCCTCCACTGCTCTCAGTTTCTTTAATTGATATTATTGTTTTAAGAATTATGTCATGTTTGCATGGAAAAGGTATCAAAGGGTTTTTTATATAGCAAAACACAATGCAAGATATTTCTATCCAAATCAGATTGGTTATATTTTTACATATGACCTTATTTATGTTTCTGAAAAAAAAGTGTAATATTTCTTTGCATATATATATAGAGAAAGAGGCGGGGTGTGGGGGGGGGAGAGAGAAACTGGAAGCACCAGAATGTTAACATTGATTATCTCCAGGCAGTTGGATTGTAGATTATTTTCTTCTTTTTGTTTATCTGTTTTTCCCAAATTTTCTACAGCTGTTATTACAATTCTACAATGTATTTGTTCTGTATTGATAAAATTATTTAAAGTCAGTTGTTACAAATTTAGCTTGTTTTGAACAGAAAAAAAGATCTAGTGATTACAAATAGAGAACGTTTTACTTGAGTTATCCCAAAGTGAGGGTGAAGAAGAACAGGAGCAATTTAGAGGAGGAAAACAAGCAACAGCTTCAGCTTTATCTTCCCTTTCTCTACAGTCATCCCTCAAACCAGTGAGGAAAAGAGCTGGGACATCTGGAATCCAGAAGAGGTTCCAGAAGGAGCAGAGCATGATGATATGTGGGACATTAGAGAAATCCCAGAGTAAGTCAAATGAAGCCAGGAATGTGTTTAGGGGTTTAAGTAAGATGTGTCATCTGATACCATTCTATTTTTGACAAGATTCATAAAGTAACTTATACCACAGAAAATATAAAACTACAGCAACACACAGAAGGCATGTAAATTGGATGATTTTTTTTCCTTCTAGAGTAGAAGCAAATACTAAAACATAACACCTTCGTTGCAGTTATTATCTAGCAAAAAACAAAAAATACAGTCATTTCCATTATAAATTTATATTTAATGTCAGTTTGTTGTATAATGTGGAACTAACAGTGGAAGAAAACCAACCCATTAAATTGCAAGCATTGATATAACTAAATTTCAATACCATGTTTATTTTTCTCGTTGATTTTCCGGAGTTCTAAGTAGATTCTAGTTATCAGCCCTTTATC